TACAACCCTGACGCACTCCCTTCCTGATTTTAAACCATGCAGTGTCCCCTTGTTCTATTCAAACACCAGCCTCCTGGTCAAGGTACAGGTTCCTCATGAGTACAATCAAGTGCTCAGGAATTCCCATTCTTCTCAATGTTATCCATAATTTGTCATGATCCACACAATCAAATGCCTTTGCATAGTCAATAAAACACAAGTAGACATCTTTCTGGTATTCTTTGCCTTGAGCCAAGATCCATCTGACAACAGCTATGATATCCCTTGTTCCATGTCCTCTTCTGAATCCAGCTTGCACCTTGGGAAGTTCTCTGTCAATATACTGCTGCAAACGTTTTTGAATTATCTTCAGTAAGATCTTATTTGCGTGCAATATTAATGATATTGTTCTAAAATTTCCACAATCTATGGGATCACCTTTCTTTGGAATGGGTACAAATATGGATCTCTTCCAGTCAGTTAGCCAGTAAAATCTTACTGAAGACAATTCAAAAATGGTTGCAGCAGTATATTGACAGGGAACTTCCAGAGGTGCAATCCAAATTCAGAAGAGGACATGGAACAAGGGATATCATCATGGATGTCAGATGGATCTTGGCTCAAAGCAAAGAATACCAGAAAGCTATTTATTTGTGTTTTATTGACTTTGCAAAAGCATTTGATGGTGTAGATCCTAACAAACTTTGGATAACATCGAGAAGAATGGGTATTCCAGAAAATTTAATTATACTCAGGAGGAACCTGTACATAGACCAGGAGGCTGGCATTCGAACAGAACAAGGGGACACTGAATGATTTAATATCAAGAAGGGAGTGTTTCAGGGTTGTGTCCTTTCACCATACTTATTCAATCTGTATGCTGTGCAAATAATCTGATAAGCTGGACTATATAAAGAAGAACATGGCATCAAGATTGGAGGGAGAATCATTAACAACCTGCGATATGCTAATGACACAACTTTGCTTGCTGAAAGTCAGGATGACTTGAAGCCCTTACTGATGAAGATTGAAGATTACAGTCTGCAGTATGGATTACACCTCATTATAAAGAAAACAAAAAATCCTCACAACTAGATCTATAAGCAGCATCACAATAAATGGAGAAAAGATTGAAATTATCAAAGACTCCACATTGCTTGGTTCTACAATCGACGCCAAAGGAGGCAGCAGTCAAGACATCAGAAGATGTATATGACTGGGCAAGTTGGCTGCAAAAAAACCTCTTTCAAGTGCTGAAGAGCAAAGATGTCTCCTTGAGGACTAGGGTGCACCTGACACAAACCCTGATATTTTCAATTGCCTCATATCCATGTGAGAGCTGGACAATGAGTAAGGAAGACTGAAGAATAATGGATGTTTTTGAGTTGTGGTGCCAGTGAAGAATGCTGAAAGTACCATGGACTGCTAAAAGAACTAACAGATCTGTCCTGGAGGAAGTACATCCGAAATGCTCCTTGGAAGTGAGAATGGCCAGACTTTGTCTCACCTACTTTGGTCATGTTGTCAGAAGGGACAATTCCCTAGAGAAGGATGTCGTCCTTGGTAAGGAGGAGGGTCAATGAAAGAGGCGAAGGCCCTCAATGAGATGGATTGACACAGTGGCTCTGGTAATGAGCTCAAGTATAGCAAGATCACAGAGCTGGCACAGGACCAAGCGATGTTTCGTTCTGCTGTGCATAGGGTCCCTATGAGTCCAAGATGACCCAACAGCACCTAACAACAGTTGCCAAGTTCAGTCTTCTTCATTTGAATTCTGATAAGTTTCTCCAGTTATCATCCATGTACTTTAAGCAACTTATTTAATTTCCCTGGTAAATATCTTCTTATAAAATGGATGATGATAGTACCTACTTCATAGATTTGTTGGAAGATTAAATGAGTAAATACACACAAATTGTTTAGAACACTGTCACAAAGTAAACTCTCAATAGATGGAATATGTCAAGGAAGTCAAAGGAGACCCTCAGAGGATGATAAGCCACCAAAAGAGACCTGGGTGGTGGGGTGGATGAAAAATCCACTGAAATAGAAGGAAAATAGTCAGGTTTAAGATAAGCCTTGAAATAGTATTAACCAGGCCAAGACATGTAGTATGTATGTGATTGTGTGTCAGTGCACATGTATGTGTGTGAAAGACTGTATGTTTGTGAGTGTTATGGAAGGATTGGAAGAGGAAATCTGAGGAGTCTTTTGGAAAGTAAAAGCAGCCTAAAAGGGCGCTGCAGTGTGAAGATGTACACGCCATAGAAAAACAGAGTAGTGCATAAGTGACTGGAGAACAGTCAGGGTATGAGAAACTTAGTGTAAGTCTAGTTTCCACTGTCTCTTAAAGGCAGTGGAAGACAGTGCAAGATTTTAAGCAGGGAGGTAACGTGGTAAGGTTTTCTCTTCCCCATTGTGGTCAGTACTTTTCCAGGCATGCCTTGCTCTAAAGATAATTATATACACTTTAGTCTTCCCCACTGGACAGCAACTTTAGATTTCCCCACACAGAACTGCCACCCAACACATGCTACTGATCCAATCTAGGCCACTGTCTGGAAACAGATCTGCCCTCCCAGGCCATCTATTTCAGAGGACCTCCGGAAAGGGAGCTGAAATCCTGAGAATTAACACCCCTCCCATTGATACTTGGAGTCCTTGGGTGGCATAAATGGTTAAGTGCTCGAGTACTAACTAAAAGGTCAGCAGTTCAAGAGACACCGCAGAAGAAAGGCCTGATGATCTGCTTCCAAAAGGTCACAGCCATGGAAACCTGTGGAGTACAGTCCTACTCCAGACTCATGGGGTCACCAGGACTTGGAATCAGCTCGACTGCTTTTATTTTTGTTTTCTTTTGTTTTGCTCTTGGTTTTCACTGATATCTGACAAAAGCTAAATTATCAAAGACCATTTAAATGGAAAGTTTTAATTTTTAACTAGGTTAGTTAAGCTTGTTTGTTTGTTTTAATGTAAAATCCATGTGGTGAAAAGAAAAAAGAAAAGTTCAATAGCACAAAAAGGTATTCAAGAAAAAGTCAGTCTCCCTTGCATTCTAGATTCCCATTTTCTCTTCTCAATGGAAACAGTGTTTCACTCTGTCTGGGGTCTTTTGACCATTCTTCCACCAATCTTTTATGCATACATTAGCATTTTGTTCTTTGACAGGCAGTAGAGTGCAAAGAAAGGTGATCCCACAGAATGTACATTATTGAACAATATCATTAATATCACATGCAAGTAAAATCTTACTAAAGATAATTCAAAAACAGTTGCAGCAGTATATTGACAGAGAACTTCAAGAAATGCAAGCTGGATTCAGAAGAGGACATGCAAGAAGGAATATCATTGCTTATGTCAGATGGATCTTGCCTTAAAGCAAAGAATACCAGAAAGATGTTTACTTCTGTTTTATTGACTATGCAAAATTATTCAATTATGTGGATCATAACAAATTATGGGTAACATTGAGAAGAATGAGGATTCCAGAACACTTATTGTGCTCATAAGGAACCTGTAGATAGATCAGGAGGCTGTCATTCGAACAGGAAAAGGGGATACTACATGATTTAAAATCAGGAAGGGAGTGCACCAGGGTTGTATTGTTTTACCATACTTGTTCAGTTTGTATGCTGAGTATATTATCTGAGAAGCTGGATTATATGAGGAAGAATGTGGTATCAGGATTGGAAGAAGACTCATTAACAACTTGTGATATGCAGATGACACAACTCTGTTTGCTGAAAATGAGGATGACTTGAAGCACTTACTGATGAAGATTGAAGACTACAGTCTGGAGTATGAGTTACACCTCAATATAAAGAAAACAAAAATCCTCACAACTGGTCCAATAAACAGCATCACAATGAATGGAGAAAAGATTGAAGTTGTCAAAGATTTCATGTTACTTGGTTCCACAATCAACACCAATCAAAGCAGCAGTCAAGACAATGTATTACATTGGGCAAATCTGCTGCAAAAGACCTCTTTCAGGTACTGAAGAGCAAAGATATTTCCTTGAAGACTAAGGTGTGCCTAACCCAAGCAATGGTATTTTCAATTGCCTCTTATGAATGTGAGAGTTGGACAGTAAATAAGGAAGACCAAAGAAAAGTTGAAGCTTTTGAGTTGTGGTGTTGGCAAAGAACACTGAAAGTACCATGGACTGCTAAAAGAACAAACGAATGTATCATGGAGGAAGTGTAGCTGGAATCCTCCTTGGAAGCGAGAATGTCCAGACTTCGTCTCACCTACATTGGTCATGCTATCAGAAGGACCTTTTCCTGGAGAATGATATCATGCTTGGTAAAGTGGAGGGTCAATGAAAAAGGGAAAGGCCCTCCACAAGATGGATGGAGACAGTGGCTACAACAATGGGCTCAGGTATAGCAGCAATCATGAGGCTGGCACAGGACCATGCTGTGTCTCATTCTATTGTGCATAAGGTCGCTGTTAGTCACAGATGACTTGACAGCACCTAACAACAACAACAAAGTACAAAGGTAAAGAGAACCATTTTTGAGGCCAGATATCTCAGGGACCAGTCCTGGCTCTTTTACCTATATGACATAATAAGTGTAAAATGACTAAGAAGTGCCTATAAACTTTCAGTAAGTTTTGTTATTTATTTGTTTGCACAAGATGGGAGTACACTGTGCATCTCTTCTGCAACTTACTTTGTAATTATTAATAGAGATATTTGCTTTTGAAAACTTGTTATGTTCTAAGCCTTTCCTAAGCATTATCTCATTGATTCCTCACAACAATCTTTGGGCTAGGTAGGATGAGTATATCTGTTTTACAAATTAGGAATCCCAGGCACAGAGAGATTATTATTCCCCAAGTGACAGGTCCTGTCAATGGTGAAGCCAGGATTTGAACCCCAGAAGTGTGCCTCCAGAGCCTTCATTCCTCTTTTGCTTGACTCCCTTCCATAGAATTGCTTAATTTGTATTTATTTCTGTTCTTTTTATTTGTGTATGTGTCTGTTGTTTTTAACAACACCTTATTATTCTTTTTAGGTCAAAGCTGATAAAAATATGAGAACTGAGCATTTTGAAAGACAGTTTCAAGCATTCACCAACATCATCCAAGAGAAGAGATCAACTTTTAATGTTGATTTATCTCTAAAATTCATACCTACTGAAACTATTAAAGACCTTAAAAATACAATTAAAGGAAAGGATAATGGAAAGAGCACCACTAAACAGGAAAATAAAAAGAATAGCTTTCATTTTCACTATTCCAAAAATGAAAGTTACCAACAATTCTTGTCATATTTTTCAGAAAAGGTAAGAGTAAATTCTTCATATAGAGAATATATGTTTGAAACTAACCAAACCCCTTCTTTTAAGTTTATAGGTACAGAACAGATAGAACTCATAAGAGAGAGAAAATTACACTCAAGAAATCCTCAAGTGTAGTTAGAATGGCATAAAGAAGAATGACAACTGAGGAAAAATCTGATGGGAGGTTTGGTAGCAGTATGTGGGTCAGATGTTTGGTGATAGTGAGCAGAGAGCAAGTGTATTAAGAATTCAGAGTGCACATTTTTTACTGAGATTGTAGTAACTATTCAATTTCTATTGTCATCAGAATTATAATAAGCTCTGTAATTCATTGCAATGCCTTAGAATGCTACCATTAACTTACTACAAAATGTGCCTCTAAAGTAATGATGCCATGCAATTGTATACATTACCCATGAAATTGACCTGCTTACCTTGTCATCATGCCTTTAATTTGAGACTTTCAAAAGTATTTGAGACAATTAAGCCAGATTTAGAAATTTGTTTCATCATCTTTGGAAGAAATTTAAAATGTATTTTTTGTAATCACTATGATACTGGTTAGGGAGCCCTGGTGTGTAGTGGTTAAAGCATTTGGCTGTTAAGCAAAAGTTCAGTAGTTTGAGCCCACCAGCCACTCCAAGACATAAAGATGAGGCAGCCTTTCTCCATAAAGATTTACAGCCTTAGAAACTCTATGGGTTTCCTGTCTTTGAGGGTCACTATGAGTCAGAATCAACTCAATGGAAGTAGGTTTGGTTTGGTTGTCTTTATGATGTTTGTTAAATGTTCAGTCTTCCTTTTCTGATACCACAATCACCTGTTAACCTTCCTCTACATGAAAATAGTAATTAACACTTAACAGAAGGCTGGGGGTTCAAACCCACCAGCCACTCGGAGGAAGGAAGGTTGGGCAATCCTACTTCCATAGTGATACTGCCTCGGAAACCCAAGAAGGGGTCGCTATGAGTCGGGGCCGACTCGACGGCACATAACAACAACAACAACAACAATATGTATCTTATGCCTAATTATTTGTTTTGTGTAGGTCTATACATTTTCTATATTCACGTGTATATCCACCCCAAGTATACAATTGGAGAACCCTTTTAATCATTAAACAAACATTTAATTGAGGACATAATATGACAAGGTACTGCTCCAGGTGCTTAGAATACATTAGGGAACAAAACTGATGAAAATTTCTGTCCTCATGCAGCTTAAAGTTCAGCAAGGACAGGCAGACAAACACAGTGAATGTAGTAACAAAAAAGAAGTTATATAGTATTTTAGGAAGTAACAAATGTTATAGAATAAGAGGAAAAGTAGAGTAGTGTAAGGGAAATCAGAGGTGTCAGACAGGTAACAGTAATAGACAGGAAGTTCAGGGTGGGCTTCCTTGAGGAGATGAAACTTGAGCAAAGATTTGAAGGAGAGGAGATAGCCGTACATACAGATATATTTAGTAAGCTGTACCTGCCTGGAGAAACTGTGCAAAGATGGGAACGTAACTGATGTGATAACTAGATCAAAGTGAACCAGAAAGAGAAAAATTCACAGAAGTTATTTGAAACCAGATAATGAAGGGCCTCATAGACCATTATAAGTGTTTCAGCTTTTTTCTGAGTGACATGGGAGGTCATTGAAGAGTTCTGAGGAGAAGGTTGACATACCTGACATATCTAAAATGATTACTCTAGGTACTCTATTGAGAAGAGATTCATAACATCTTATTGAGTGTTAAGAGTAAAAGCAAGGAATCATGTTAGAAAGCTATTTCAAATCCAGGTAAGAGATGATGGTGCTCAGACAGGATAGTTGTAAGAGTTCAGGTCCAAGGTTTTTGATCTGAGCAATCATCTGGAGCTTTCAGGAAGAGCAAGTTTGGAGAGGAAGATCAGGATTCAAGATTTAATTACGTTCCATTTGAGATGTCTATTAGACATTTCACTGAAATGTCAAGTAAAAAGTTTTAGGGGCTTGGGGATGAAACCTAGACTTGAGCTATATATTTAGGAATTGTTACCAGTTAGATGATGCATAAAGCTATAGAGCTTGGTGGGTCCACCAAGGGAGTTAATGTAGACAGAAAAGAGAAGGAAACTAAACTTGGAAAACTTCAAAATGAACAGACCTGGGGAAAGAGGAAGAACTGGCAAAGGAAACCAAAAAGTGGCCAGTGTAGTTTCCTTTAACCTTGCTACTCAAAATGTGGTTGGTGGACCAGCTGCATCAAATCTCTGGGGAGCTAGCATCTTAGATTCCACCGCAGATCTACTGAATCAGAATTATCTTTTAACAAAATTCCCTAGGTGATTTGTTTACATTTTACAGTTTGAGAAGCACTGCCCTGGAAGATAAGAGAAGGAACAGTATCAAGGAGACAGGAATGATAGATTGTGTCAAATGTGCTACTATGTCAGAGAAGACAAGGATCAAATGTGGTCATTGACTTAACATTATAAAGGTCATGGGTGACCTTGATCAGAGAAGTTTTTCTGAGTATTGAGGGTAGAAACATGATTGGATTAGATTAAAGAAAAAAGAAGGGAAGAATAGAAGACAGCCAGTATAGAACTCTTTCAAAGAATTTTGTAATTATGGGGACAAAGAAATGGGCAGTAGCTGGTAGAACAAGTGAGGTCGAGAGACATTTATTTCTTAAAATTGTTTTAAAATAGAAAAGAGAGCAACAGGTTTGTATGGCAATGATCCAAGATCCACTTTTGAATAAACTGAGCCAAATAACACCACATGTTTTTCTGACTCCAAACTACAAAATACACCTCCTATTTTAGTAATCAAGGAAAAGAAATTCAAGTATGTTGATCTTTAAGATCCACTGAGGTATGTGAACTGCTGTATGGAAAGTGAATTTGCCCTGCAAACTTTCACCCAAATCACAATTAAATAAATAAATAGATAGATAAATAAAAGACCCACTGAGAATTACTATGACAGATAACAGATGGAGAGCTCATATAACTCATCATATATAGAATTAAGTTATGTAAAGGTTTTTGTTGGGAGCTCTGGTAGTGTAGTGCCTAAGGCACTTGATGGCTAACCAGAAGGCTGGCGGTTCAAACCACCAGCCACTCCTCGGAAGGGAGAGAGATGGGGCAATCTACTTTCGTAGTGATACTGCCTAGGAAACCCAAGGAGGGGTCTC